TCTGCAGGAGGAGGTGGCAGGAAGGAGCTGCCCCTCCGCTCGCCCAAGCCCTCCATAGTCTGCCCTCGCAGCAGGGCGTTTCCAGGGGCACTGAGGCCATTCAGCCAGGTTTTAAGGTGGCTTCTCTCATCAGTATTCCCCCTGCTCTGACTGTGAGATTTGGGCACATCTGAAGGCAGCTGCAGCAGGCCCATGCAGCTGGCATGCAACTGTGACAGTGGCTCGGGGGAGTGCAGATCTAGTGTCTTTGAGGCAGTCCTGCACAGGAGGCATAGCTGACCGTTCAGAGGGCTCGTCTGCATGTAGAGTTGTTCAGTGATGGGCCTGTGTGGAGGTGCTCGCTGTAGAGTGGACGTGAACAAATGACTGCCTCCCAGAGGCAGAAAAGAGAGGCAATGAGTTACTGCAGAACAGTTGTTTTAAATGCATGCTGTTTTTCATCCCACTAACCTTTGCATGCTGCTGTAGACCAGCTTTTGGCTTTCACCTCATAGAAGAGCAGCAGTGTTGGCATGGAGAAGAGTTAGTGCTGCTGGTGGTTACCAGAAGATGAGCTTGCAGAGTCTCTTTTTTCTAGCTCAGATAAGCCTCAGCTGTTCAAAGCCCACATAGATGCAGTGGCTTCTCTTCCAAAGTTAATCCTGCTTGTTGGAAAAGGAGGAGGCTGAGAGCTGGGGAGAGCTGCTCAGGCCACTGGTGTGGCCAGTCTTCCTCAGTGGGGCAGCTCCATGGTCATGCCAGGATGTCTGGCTGGGGGACAGGAGATGCTTCCCCTTGGAGCAGCACATGAACTTGTCTAGCTCCAAAAACTGCTGTTTGTGCTTCCTAAGGAAATCCTCTGGCCATGTCTTGCTTCACAGGCAGGCAGTATCAGCTGAAGCAAGGGGAAGGTGGTAGGATCATGTATCGAGTGTCCTCACTAGCTGTAGAGCTGTGTTTCTGCTAGGCAGAGAGGCTGGGTAGCTCCTAGCAGGCAGAATAGGAAGAGTGGTGCACGAGAAAGGCAAGACACCTGCATTGGTTATGATGGTTGTCTGTCTCCCCATGCAGAGCATAAACTGACTGAAAGGTAAACATGGAGATTTCATATTACCTGTCTGGATTCACTGCTTTGTAAATCCATTGCCTGTTAAGCATTCTCTAGCCATAGCCCAGATATTCTTCTGAGGCAGAATATACATAAATGAATTCTTCCTCTATTTGACCATGAATGTCAATAGTCTCCCTTGTGAGTGTGGTTAGCTGGTGTGGCTGTTGTCTGTGCAGCATCTGCCTGCTAAATTGGTCTTGCCATCCCAGCAAGGCAAAGCACTGGAAACCAGCCCCATCTGATGGCACACTTTGTTTCTAGTCTGCTTTGTAAGCCACTATGATCCTCCAAATGACTCTGCTGTTTTCCAGAGCCACAAGGAGAGGGTAGGGGGTAGAAACTCCCAACCCAGCAGAAAGCTTTAGCTACCACAGCCTTTAGCATGAATGGTGTAGTTATATGCTGCAGTACCTGGCACCAGCAGTGGACTTGGAGTTGCTTGGTGGAAGTTCTTCCTCGTTCCCCTCCTTTCTGTTCGTTTCCGCATGTCACATTGGGTTTGCTCTCGAGAGCTGAGGTGGGGTAGGAGCTGCAGGGCTGCAGCAGCTTTGGCAAATGGGCTTCTCCTCTGGCTTGCAGGGAGCATTGCAGACACGCTTGTGGCAGGGCAGCCTGGGGTCAACCCTTTAGTGCCATATCAATGATGTGCGCTTGCTTGGGCCGCGATGGGAAGCTTTACCGGATGCCATTAGTGTGCTGTGTCAGTTGGCATGAATGTAGGTAAGCAGTGTGCTGCCCCTGCGGGAAGCGTGCTCTTGGGGCTCGCTGCTGGGCTTGGAGAGGCTCCAGGTAGGCAGGTTTGGTGTTCCACTCCCAGATGCAGCCAGGTCGCTTGTTCACCTACTCCCATCAGATCAGATTGTGTTTTTAAGCAAGAACCCGTCATGTAAAGAAGAGCTGTTGGTGCTCAGCCTTGTATCTGTTGGAAAAAATCAGTTGCGTTCTTGCTGGTTCGTTGTAATGTGCAAAGGGGAGGAAGCAAACCCCCCCTCCATTCACTTACCACGTGCCCCAGGCAGCGCAGGCAGTGCCAGTGATCTTTGTCCCTTCCCCCAGCCCTCCGTTGCCCTTGCAGAAGCAGCAGTGCTCCATTTTGTAAACTACCGCGACAGGACAGAAAGGTGCCGTCTCCACTCTCGCATTCATTTGATCTGCCTGACTGTACCCTCGCACACTGTCCAAACCATGTTGCCTGGTGGTGCCCAGCATACTTAAATAAAGTTGTTCATATACAAACTTAAGTGTCCTGGCCTTATCTCCTGCATTTGCATTGTGAAGGACGTAATGTGTGTTCTTGTCTTGCGTGTGCAGGGTTGTTGCAGGCCGATCTGCTGGGAGACGGAGCATCTTTGGCCTGAGATTGCCCTCCTGATCTGGCTCTTGAGCTGGGGTAGGAAGTTCCTGGGACGTAGCTGTGGTCTCTGCTGCTGGTGCCCAAAGCTGCTCCCCTCTTTAGCCATCCTGTAAAGGTGCCAACCTAGTCAGAGCCAGAGCAGAGGTCAGTAGGTGTTGCTGGGCCTGGCTGTGTCGACTTCCTCCCCACTCCCAGAGAGGTGGGGGCTGCGCAGCTGGATGCGATGGGGATGGGGCACAAGTGCAAGAGCTCTCCTCCCTCTGGGGTGTCTTGTGTCTCACTGGAGTCTCTGAGGGGCTCTGTCCTGTTGGGCAGCCTGGTCTTGCCAAGCAGGGAGTATTATGTTATCCCCAGGACCTCTCTTTCTTGCTGCGGACAGGTAGAGGGCGGCCAAGGAGTGGAGAAGCTGTAAGGGTGAGTGAACGTGGCTGGGACAGGCAGTGAGGGCAGCCCTGGCTGAGTGAGGAGGGCTGGGAGCCACACAGCTGCTTTTGTGGGAAGAGCTGATGCCAGCCCAGGCGCTTGCTGAGAACTAATGTGGTGAGCTTTGCTCCCAGGAGCAGGATGGGAAGAGGAAGGTGGTTCAGTGCCCAGGCAGGCCTGTTCCTGTGCAGCCTGAGAGAGGGCTGACATGTACGTGAGCATGTCAGCCAGGCTGCCTGCTTCAGGTACCTCAGCCGCCCCGAACAGTGACAACCAAAGCTGGTGGGAGCAGCTAGGCTAGATGCAACCCCAGCTCCCTGGGGCACAGCAGTGGGGCCAGGGCCAGGGCCTGGGGAGGGCTGAGACGAGACAAGCAGGGCAGGAA